TTAGTCAGTTTGACTCTGATACTGTGGGTGCTCGTTTTGCTTAGGAAGGTGAAATGATCTACAGCTGTCTGTGTGGTGCTGGAAGCCACGATACAAGCTGCTGGAAATCTTTAAAAATTAAATAAAAGTGCTTCAATGCTTCCTTTATATTCCAGCTTGGACCACCCTTGATCCATGTTATCATAACCTCATAATTCATAGTGACACACCATCCCAGCATTCATGAAAATCATTAACAAAACTGGTTGTTACAGCCCAGTCTAGGGGTACCGAAACGAAACATAAGGGTTAGGAAAGACGTGACCCCGCCCTGGTCCCCAAAACCATACCCAGAAGCTAAATCTTTGAAGTGAACAGTGGTTTATTTGTGGCTACACTGAAAACTTAACTCCGGGGGGAACAAAGGCCAAAATAACAAACAGAACAAGCTAAGTCGGGAAAGGAGGAGCTATCTAAAACCCTAGATGAATCAAAAACCAAACAAAAGACAAGTGCCACGCCTACCTCTCTACCTGAATTAAACAGGAGGAAATAATACTAGAAATAATAAGGCAGCTCACCCCTTCTGTTTCAGTGCCTATTTACAAGTGAAAAATAATTTACACACTATATACAAACTCTGTGAATCTCAGGAATAACACACAAATCACAGGGTTTGGAAGCCAGGGTCAGGTCTGCCACATGATGAGGGGACTCGAACTCTATCAAGACAATCTTCCATTCCAGGAAGAGGAGAAGAGTCAGGTTTGGTCGCACTGTTTACTTTTTGAAAATCGTGGGGTTTTGTAAACCTTTGGTACAAGAAAACATGGGGAACTCCATGCACTGGAACTCAGGACAGCTAGATTATTTTCCAGAAAGTAGGAAACTTCTTGCTGAAAAAGTGCACGTTTGGTATGGTTCACACAATAAGCGTGTTGTTTGATTGTCACCTACATCTATGTCATGTCTAAGGACCGTAGTGAGAGACGAAGTGTCTGCAAACAGGAACGGATGGTCTTTTATAAGACAGCACATATCGTTCTGGGCAGCGTCATCCAAATGTTTTAGGCGGGATTTTAAATTGTCTAATATTTCAGAGTTTCTGAGTCGGGAGCAACCCTCAGCACAAACGAAAACTAAGCCATCACTTTCTGGATTATACTGAGACAAAGACACTGGTACCACTACGGGCAGGGACGACGGCACAGCAGGGGATGAAGAG